TAAGACTAAAGCTAAGATTAGGAAACAGATGGCTATAATTGGTTCCTGTCGTGTCTTTGGTTCGACGAGTAACTATTTTAGGCGTGTCTTATTCACTACGTTTGTTCTCCCTATATTTACGTGGCTTTTTGCTATTTTTCCCCTATTCACGCCTTGTCAACAACAGGACCTGACGCATTTTTACTATACCTGCCTAAAAAGGATTTATCATGTTACACAATTGAACGACATTCTCTTCTCTTATTATTATGATGAAATTTCGTTAGAAGATAGATGCGCTACGTATTGGAAAAGGTTTATGGACGCACTACTTGTTTCTGTAGATGGTGATATACTAATGGAGCCAGCTTTCTTAAACGTGTTTAGAGAGCAATGGCTCAATAAGAATTATAGCATTACAAAAATTTTTCGTTCTAAACGATTTGTAGCACATGAGTCTGTATTTGTCACATGTGCCCAGTGGCTAGAAAACAGTATCGAATGTTCGCTACCTGACTTAGACGAGGATGATCTTGAACTACTTGAATTTTGCCCTGAATCTTTTTTATAGTTCAATTGTCAGATATTTGTAGCGTGTTTCTTTTCCATAAGGATTCTTTTTCTTTTTATATTGTGTATTCTATTCTTAAAATGTATTAATTAATTTACAGAAATCCTCAAGGTTCTTGTTGTATTTTGTCTTAACAGGCCCACAAAGAGCAGTAATAAAGCATATAAATATAATAAACTGTAAAAGAAAAGTATATGTATAGGAAACAAAAAAAAATAGTATCGAGACGTATCGAGTCTCGAAAAACTCTCAGAAAGTTTCGGTACTGGCACTTTTATATCGAGACTTTCGGGACTCGAGACTATTCGAGACTCGAGACTAAAGTTTCGGGTATCGAGTATCTCGTCTTGGTGCATTCCTAGTACCAACAAGGGAAATGACATTTTTGAGTGAGTGTAGAGTTAACCTTTTCTTAAAAATATGTTTTACTCCGCAAGACAATTCTCATTACTTTCTCCGTGTTTACGGGTATCATCTCTGATTCAGAATCAAATTCCTATTGGTGGTCTCATTTTACAAAGTCCTTATACGTCTCTATCCGAATTGATACGTAGCAAAGCCGGTGTTCTAAGTCATTTGTTTATCAAAGGCTGGAATAACGTCGAACAGATGAAATTCATGACGTGTCCAGTTTTATTCATACACGGTGAAAGAGATTCTTTGGTTCCATGCCAACATTCTAGAACACTATATGACGCATGTGTTTCAGCAAAAAAGAAATTGGTTCTACTTGATTATGCCGATCACAATTCAATTTATCCGAGACATGTGGTGAATCATCTTCGACACTTTATCAAAGATTTTCCAGTTAAAAATGTTCCAGAAGTGCAATTACATGAAAAATACCGTAATGTACCAGATGATGTCAAAGAAGATAGTAGAAGTGCCGGTGGGGTTCTACATAATTTATTTTCAATGTCAACAGCATCTGCCAATGCATTATCGTCATCAGTGGCGAGGACTGGAGAGATGCTAACTGGAAAAAGTACAAACAACAGAAGACAATAATACAAAGCTGTATCTGAAATAATCTTATTCCGTTTCAAACTAAATAGAACTGTGAAAAGAACAGGTTTGACAATCATTTCCACTCGAATTTTACTACAGTTACTTGCGTGACACTTTAAACCTGGTTCTATCTAAAACTGATTTATGAATGATCAATGAACTCGTTGAACATGAGCAGAATCCTTGGATTACTCACGGGTCATCTTGTAAACCCATCTAGTGTTATGAGTTAACAAATTTAATAATTTTTTCACTCGATTATTACCGCCAAACCCTAGAAAAAAAAAACTATGAATCGATTACTTTGTACTGTACCGCTGCTTTGAAAATTCGTTTTAATTTAATATCCGGTCCAAAGATACGCTGAAGACTCGGTTTCCTAAGAGCTTATTCAATCTAAAAAAACGATAATTCGAAAGATATTTTTTTTCCAAAACGGTCCACATTTTCAGGGTAGATTACTACATACGTCACTTCTTGACTGTTCAGTTGTTTTAACGTCCTGTTCAAATCAAGTTCCTGTTAGAACCAGGACTTTCGATGCCCTGGATTTCTTTAAATTCATTATAGTTGTTTTTTCAATGAACCAACTGAAAACGTGATTCCATCACAATGCATTTGGACTTTTTCTGCCTTAAGTTGAAACGAAAGCAAAAAGCTTTTTCTTTATAAGCAGTCGATGAATTTTCTCGCAATATCACCAGCGAAAGTTCCCTCTTCAGACCTAGAGATAAGTTGAGCTTTTCAAAACCCTAGGTTGCTTTTAGAAGAAGATTTCATTTTTTGTGGTTTCATCAGTCTCTATTATTCCTGTAAAACTCAGACTACGCAACAGCCCCCTGATCTCGCATGCGCTTCTAATAGGTCCCACTATTTTTCAAGGGTTTCACGTACAAAAATTTTGTAACAACTTTTAGGGTTTTCCAGAGCTTTTCGAAGGGATTTCGAGATTCTCATGCTGGTATGTATAATTTGAACGAGTTTTTACCTTAAAATCCTGAAAATTTGACAGTCTTTTGCTTTAGAAATACTACTAGAACTTTCCGAAAATTTCAAAATTGTTTTCAAATGAGGGCGGCTTCTAATACATTTTTCACATCGACCTCTCCAAGGGGGGCTTCTATTATGGAGGGAGGGAGTACGATGGTTTTCTGTAATGTGAAAACACGCTCATTTGGTTTAGACACTCAATGAGATGCAAGTAAAGATAATGTGACACATTAAAATTGCATGATAGTTCAAGCAAAAATCATGAGCGTGTCATCTATAATTAGGCAGTGGTTGATTGATATTTGAACGTACAAGAGGACATCTTCAACTGTACTGCAGTATAAATAAAAATGGCAGACAGATTACTTCCCGCTCTCCTCGCTCTCTTCTGTTTAGATCATCCATTCAGATTAATTTTCTGAATTGTATTCTTATTTTGTTCTTTCTTCTTTCTTTTTTTACTATACAGTACTTTTATTACTGTTTCTATATGTACTGTCTTAATGATTTTCTTATGCAAATTAGTTTTGTTTTTTCTCTTACTTTGTTGCATCACTCTCGCTCAATATATAATGGGTTAGGCCCCCTTTGTTGTGTAGATTATTACTTAGTTTCAAATAAACTGGTTTAGAACAAATAAATTATCGTTTGTCAGTACAAAACAACTGTCATGTTTTACTCATTTCTTTCAACGAACAGTTTGTGATGGACTGATACGAAATACCATATATTAAGAAACATTATTCATATGTTGTGAACTCGCCCGTTAGGCCACTGATCGACTAAAGTAACAGAAATGTTATGATTACAATACGCTGATAAATTTTTTTCTTTCAAATTTAGAAAAACACTGCACCAAGAATCAACTATAAGATAAGCAACAGGGCATAACGTGTATTAGTTAGATTTTTATTTTATTTCCTTAAGTGGAAGTCTAGGGTTATACAAATTAAATGTCTGTCAATCCGTTCGCAGATAGAAACAATGGGCTGACCCATAAAATTCTCTGTTTACGAAAAATAATCAGCAGCCCTATAACATCGAAAAGCATTTCGTTCAACAATTTAAGTCTTAATAAACTAGCGGGTAATACTAAACTAAGAAAACCGAATATGCATCATTTTAATCTGGTAAAGATCAAAATGCCCACTGAAAAAAAGAATGAAATTTACGAAAATTTTATACGCGTTCACGTGTAAATGTTTTCTTTACGAACTGCTATACATAACTATGACCTTTTTTGTTGCAGAGAGTTTATTCTTTTTTTGTTTAACCCTTTACACCCGAAGACACTTTTATTATAGCTGCAGCTGAAATAACTACTGCATTGAAGCTTACAGTTCTTCGGTACATCCTTGTTATATCTGGACTTAAGTAATGTTGCTGTGCTGCGTGGATACATGATGTCCCTTGGAAGGGACATACGGGTGTAACGGCACGAATTTTGTTTTTGTTTTTTGTTTTTCCGAACTTCGTTTTTTAGTCTGGTATACTAACTAAGTATGAGTTTCTTTTCAATTCTTTACTCAGTGGAAAAATTTGATAGAAAGAAACATTCAGGCATATTTTTCTTTAATTTTTCCCAAAACGTCGTGCCCGAACGCATTTTTCAAATCAAGATGGCCCTAAGGGTGCTTCTAAACGAGCTTTTTTGATGTTAATGAGAGAAAAGTATGTTCGGACACATCTTGCCTTTTAAAAAACTGAAGGTAGTTTAAACGCGTTTCAATGTTATGCAGTATTTTAAACGCACTTAGATGGATTTTTTATATCGATCAGAGAAAACACATTCACATTTGTCGGCGATGGCACAATAGTATTGGTTGCATCTTTTTTCTTCATTCACTGATCTTCAGATGTGTAGCGAGTGATCACAGAATGATCCACGCTAACAAGATGTCAAGATAAAAAAATTCACTTTTCATGTCATCACACCCGAATGTCCCTTCCAAGGGACAGTGAATTCACAGCGCCTTTACGCAAAGAAGAATGCTACAAAAATTTCTTTTTGATTTTATTATAAAGTACATCCATACAACCAAAACTATCAACTACAAAATTAGAAAATGGTTTAGTGGCTACTAGTACAAAAAATATTTAAAACAAAAGTTCATTTCTGAACTTCATTCAATTTTAAAATTCAAAAATATCGGATTAAGATGGAAATTTTTCTTTCTTATTTCAATCAAACGTTAAGCTACTCTATTGTCTTACATTAGTAATAATCTAACATTTTGGCTGATGATCCGTTCTTTTTAAAAATCTATTATATCAACGTCCCTTGGAAGGGACCGGCGGGTGTAAAGGGTTAAAAGAGGAAAAGAAACTAAAGTGATGGAAACAGAAGAGGACATCTATAACAAGATTGAGAGCTATAAATTTTAGCTAGGGGTGACTGTTTTCAGCCGATCAATATACACTATTTTTTGCTCTGATATCTATCACAGATTGTATATTTCGATTTTCTTCAAAGCATCTTGATGGATTCAGTTTGTTCAAATTTCATTAGATAGCCCTTGCGTTGTTCTACAAAAGTCATTATTTTCAAAGTATCTTGACAGTCTAAATTTGGAGCCAGCCGAAGATGAAAGCCAAAAATAAGCTAAAACTTAGAGTCGAAAAACACGTGTTTTCTCGGTTCTTGAGCCCCTTGCGACTGTAGTTGGAAAGATGCCAAAAAATTTATTAGCCCATTTTGTAGAGCTTTTCAAGCTACATCTAACCATATAAAATTTGAGGTCTCAAAAAACTACCAGGATGCCGAAAAATGACCTACACTATGAGCCACCTCCATTAGACCTCAAAGGCAGCTTGACGATCATTTCACAAAGGTTACATTATATCAGCGTAAAACGAATAGATTCTTCATTCTCACAATGAATTCTATCGATATCCAAAGTGTCAGATCATAATGACGAGTTTTAGCAAAAAAAAGTGGACATGAGAGGGCCCAAGCCATTGGGATCCTATATCGACAATAAAACGAACATGATATCTACAGCAGCAATGACAACTGTGTAAAGTTATAGAGCTCGTCGAGCTCTTAGCTTTGAACATTGATCGAACTAAAGCGCCAAAATGAGTCATTTTAGGTTACAAGCCTATTGGCCCTGGGAAACCAGGTAGATCAAATCTCTATAATTCAGCAGTGATTCATCCGATCGATCTGAAATTTTCACCCAAGACAGAATATCTTGAGAGAAGCTTTTATTTTTGATGGGTCATGGCAAAGATTTTGGTTTTACTGATCACCGACCCTGAAGAGGACATGCTCAACATCAGCGTTCGGACAAATTGCAATTCAATCGTTTGGGCATCAGAAACCGAAGGTCATAAAGAGATATCTCTTTCCTGAAAGTTTTATGAAAAACGAACGCTGTTTGACGAAATGAGATGTGTTTTAGTAACGGTGACTTTTTCTTTTGAGGTGTGAGTTTCCTCTTCATCCAAGCCCACACATCCCACACACTTCACACTCCACACCCTCAATCAATCGTTGTTTACAAAGCTGAAGATTTGACTAAAATATGTCTCTTCTTACAAATCAGATTTCCATCAAAACAAAACTGGAAACTATGTTAATTTTGCCAAAATTCTAATGAACTTTTCACTTTTTTTCTTTCTATGGTCCCTTTATGATTCTCTTTTGTTACTCTTGTTGGAAATCGATCATACACATGCTTCTTTATTTCATCCCAGTAGAATATGAGTATGAGAGATATTGGAACATTGTGTTTTCTATAGGAATCTCGCCTATTTGAGCGTGAACGCACGGATGTAAAAAGTAGAATTTTCAAACAACATGAAGAAATAATGAATTGTTGACATAAAACATTGCAATGAATAACTTTGAATCAAACAAAATATTTGAAATTAAACAGTCGTTGTCTACAAAGCTGAGGATTTGACTAAAAGATTTCTCTTCTTACAAATCAGATTTCTATCACAAGAAAATTGGAAACGATGACAATTTTCCGAAAATTCTAATGAACTTTTCACTTTTTTCTCTCTATGGCCTCTCTCTCTTTCTCTTCTCTCTCATTTTATCATTTTATTCTCTTCTTTCTCTCTATTTCAGTTCATCCGTTACGTGGAAGTTCCATTGACATTCATCCAAATGCTCGATGGCAACAGAATGGTCTCACTGTGACTAGAGGAAATGGAGAAGGCAATGGAATCAATGAACTCTCAAACCCATGGGGTTTGTCTGTTGATGATGATGATCAAACAATCTATATCGCTGATCCATCGAATCATCGTATTGTGGAATGGAAATTGGGTGCGACGAGTGGCCAAGTGGTTGCCGGTGGAAATGGACAAGGAAGTGGGACTCATCAGTTGTCTGACCCATTAGATGTGATTGTCGACAAAGAGAGAGATAGTCTCATCATCTGCGATAGTTCAAATACAAGAGTGATTCGATGGCCTCGTCGAAATGCGACAAGTGGAGAAACAATCATCTCCAACATCGATTGTGTGGGTTTGACAATGGACGAGAATGGATCTCTCTATGTCGTTGACTTTGGAAATTATGAAGTGAGACGATATCGAAGAGGAGAATCTCAAGGAACAGTGGCTGCAAGTGGCAATGGACGTGGAAATCGTCTCGATCAACTCTATGGCCCACAATACGTATTCGTCGAACGAGATCATTCAGCATACGTGTCTGATTGTGGAAATCATCGTGTGATGAAATGGATGGAAGGTGCAAAACAAGGCATTGTCGTGCCTGGTGATCAAGGAAAAGCAAATGGTCTTACACAATTGTCAAATCCTTGGGGAGTCGTTGTCGATCAATCGGGCACTGTCTATGTGGCTGATTGCGGGAATGATCGAATCATGCGTTGGCCCAAAGGAGCCACACTAGGAAGTGTCATTGTTGAATCAAAGGTTGAATGTTCATTTTTTCTACTAGTGGATTTTAGATCATGATATATATGCTGACTAAGATCGTTCAATTCATAAATATTATGTTGCTTTAACAGGTGTGATTTTCAAAATTTCAACAAGTTTCTTTGCTGTTTCGGAAGCAATGAAAATCACTTGTTTAATGTTTAATTTATCTATCACCCCGAAAAAAAATCGATTCCGCCTATATTTTAAATATTTTTTCACAGTAAGAATATATTATTTAAAACCAATTACATATTCTGAAAGCCCGTAGAGTTTTCTATCACCCTATATAATTAGGTTTCAGTTTATACCTATTCATTACCAAAAAAAATTGAGTAAGCCTTACAATGAAGGCACCCTCATGTCCAGATTCCCACAGACATGATTTTTTGACTGTCATCAAAATTTGTTTTCAAAATTTTTCATTACTATAGTACTACCTGTTTGAAAAAGCAATTATAGATTCTGATAGAGCTTCATATTCTCTATCAGCCTGTCTATTTTTTACTTACCTTTTTGCATTCATAGATTAAAAAAAAATTTGGATACAACGAACATACTCCGAATCGACAAGTACCAAAACTCTGCATTTTTTGTTACTTTTGAAGTTTTCTTTTGAGTTCAGTCAAGTTTGAAGTTCAACTTTTGAGTTGACAGATATTCAAATATATTGCTATTCTCGATTTCCTGGATTGACTTTGGATTTTCCGATAGTAGGTTATGATCCAGTTCTGGCTTATTCACAGCCAGCTATTTCATTTGTTACCTTTCTTTTATTTAATGCACACTCAAGGAACAGTTAAAGTTCAATCATTATCACCCTATGATCGACCTCAAATAGATCGTGGTTGGCAAAAGTTGTCCGATTATGACCAAAAAAATTTACAATATGGAGCTGATTTTGTTCGAAATATGACTCGTAATACTATTAATGGGGTAAATGTTATGTTAAAAGAGAACTTTTTCCTGGAACCCGTTTTGGAGGATGCGATGATCTCCATCGACGATTGAATCTATGTAGTGCTTACCATCAAGTTGACACTTGCGCATTAGGCAAATGTACGGACAATGAAGCACGTGTAATTGGAATCAAAAATGTTCGTATATGTGATGTTAGCCTATTTCCGACACAATTAAGGGCCCCCCACGGGTAAAAAAAAACAATTTTCGTCAAAAATATCGCTTTTGAGATTTATACATAGTTAGATAGTCCATAGTCTGTACTTTCGAATGCACTATGATTTATTGGTTTTATGATGATTTTTGAGGGTTTTTCAGCGGTTTTACTGACACACCCCACATAAAAAATTTTTTTTTTTTTGGAAAACCTTTTCTTTTGTATGCTGAGTATGAAGAAACTAAATCTTCCCTCTAGTAATATGCTATTTGAAACACTACACTTATATTATGCATGTTAAATGTTAGTAAATTTGTTAGTAAATATGTATGTAGTAAATATGTATTTCGTATAGTAAATATGTTAGTAACGTTTAAATATGGAAAAAAGTACATCGTACACGGCTCTGTATGTGCTCATTCGATTCACCATGGTCGATAACCTATGATGAAGTGCTCTCAGTTTTTTTCTATACTACTTTATTAAGGAAAAAAACACGATAATCAAAGTAAAAACTTGTTTTGCGTTTTTCTCGAAAGTGTTTTTTTATGTTTTATCTGTTAGTATTTTCAAGATTTCTCCACCATTTTTCATGATGAGTTCGGGAAGGTTTTAAAATGAAACTAAAGCTCAGCACTAGAGCATAGCAAAGCCAGAATTTTTGTTTTCATTTTAGTTCTTTATGAAAAAATCGAGTTTTCTAAAGAGTTAACCTCAAGTTTTTCCAAAACCCTATTTCAAGAGAAATTTTTGTTTTTTTCAAAAAACCGGCTTTGCTCTAGCTCTGAGCTTTAGCTTCATTTTAAAACCTTCCCGAGCTTTCAAGCATTCAAAATGGTGGAGAAATCTTGGAAATACGAGCATCTACTTTTCACCCTTAAAACCAGGATAACTCTCGCAAAACTCAAAATTATGAACTCAATTTTTTACTGAAGACTATCCAAGGTCAGATACATATTCAGTAAAAATTTCAATAAGGTTGAGTGGTCTGGAAAAAAAAAATTTTTTGACCCGCGGGGGCCCTTAAATGTTAATCCAACATATACACTCTATGCTATGTGTGAAAAAGTAGCGGATCTTATTAAGAAAGAATATTCTCAAGATCAACAAAGTACCGCTGATAGACATGACTGTAACAAGCTGTATTTCATCATGTTAATGCTGTTTCTTTCTCTACAATCAACGACAAAAGTTTAAGCGAATTTGTTTATTTCAATTTTTCATCACATGAAGAGGTACGGACCTGATTCAAATGGTGATATAATCCCTGTTACAAAGTCTTGAGACAAAATGTTCGTTCGTTTTCCGACCATATTAGAGCTACTTGTCAAAATCAAAAACTGTTAGTTAGAATCAAAATTTGTGTGCTCTTTCCGAATATGTGTTCAAAATTGTTGTCTGACTTAAGATTGGTCGATTGTGAGCAAATGCTTGAAAGGGGCGAAAACGATGTCTGTACAGAATTTTGTTTTCGCCTATTCCGTATTTTGATTGAAACTGGATCGACTCAAAATGTGAAACGCTTTTTAATATTACAGTTTGTAGACCAAAGCTCACTGTACAAATGACCTATCTAGTTTTCTTTTATATCTAACAACAAAGATTTAAAATCTGTTGCACTTTAGAAGTCGGATTTTGAAAAGTCGATTTTTTGACAAATACCGTTGTACGTGGAATGTAGCTTTTAGAAAAACGAACGTGATTTTTGGTTTTTTCCAGTTCTAGCTTATTGTATTAACTAGGGGTGTCGCTTTACCGTTTCTTTACAGGTAACTCAGTAACGCATGCGTTATTGTGTTACTGATAACGAGTAACGCATGCGTTATTGCGTTTAAGTAACTTCGAGTAACGCAGTAACGCTTATGATACAAGTCAAGCTGATAAATACTTATATTTTTTTTGCTGATATAACTATTGTTGGCACGATTGAGTTTCTGATTTCAGTTAAGCGTACTTCGACAAATACAGCGAGTAAAATTGCTTTTATGTACGGTTTTTGTTTGTATTAATATTCTTACCTCTTCAGTTCCATGTGACTGTGTGGCTGCTATGGTATTACTGTGAACATCTGGTTATAATGTAAGGTGTTCTGCACTCTCTGGATACCCCTAGTTGTTCTTGCTGATAGTGCTGAAATCTCTGGTGATAACTAATCGTTCTTTGTATACATATATATATGTATTATGCAAATTTCGGATATACTGTCTTGAAGTTACAAATGGTCAGAAATTTATTTACCCTATATCATCACTTTTAAACGAAAATTTCTCTTAAATTCAATAACGAGCAACACCAAGGTTTTATTTGTGAAAATGTGCCACTTGAACGACACAGGGTCTTCATCTCCTTTGGTTCTGGAGATACAGACGTTTTCCGAGGACACACTTATCTCATTGTAGACACGTCTGGGTATCTCAGAAACATGTGGATCATAGGTAATCGACAACACTGATCATCGTGGCGATGGTCGGTTTATTACCCATCCAACCACAACTCCAGAAAACCCAATTTGGTGAAAAGGAGGGGTGTCACATTTTCTTTACTGATGCGTTACTTTACTGAGTAAAGCAACGCTTTCAAATATCACCGTATGAGTGACGAACAACCGAAAATGTATTGTTTTATCACCTTCCAGACACAATGCGACTAAAGCGTTACTATATTATGCGTTACTGGTAACGAGTAACGCATGCGAACGCATGCGTTACTCGTTACCAGTAACGCATAATATAGTAATTTTCACAGAATTCATTTTAGAAAACTTTAAAAATAAAAATACACTTTTCTTTCGATTCCATGTTTGAATCATGTCAGCCATGCAAAATTGTGCATATTCTGAAATTTTGAAGTCATTCGGTTTGATTTCTTTTTAATTATGCATTTTTTAATTTTTTAGTGGAAATACCCCAAATCGGTAATTTCAATATAGGTTTTCGCCGTGTTTTTAAGCTTGTTTCGAAAATAAGCATTGCTACAAGATTTAGCATCGTCGAATAGAAATATTCCACTTATTTTCGAGGATGTCACAAGTCACCGAATATCAGTCCTGGGACTCCCAGGAAATTCGGTACTACACTTAGATCGTTGACAGCAAAATTCTTGCTTGATAGCCATTTTAAAGAGGATTCTTCGACTATCTATCCGTGAGAAAAAAGCAACATATGTCTATCGCAGACTTTTGAGTAATCACTTAGTTTTCCAAAGATCTTCCAAAAAAGCGTACTTTGGAAAAATAGCTTCGAAATAGTTTTCACTATGAATAGATGCGATACACTCTGCTAAATCGATTGGAAAAAATCGCAAGTCTACGTTTTTTTGTTCTCGAGTTATTGAAACGGTAGCCGTGTCCCATTGCTTTTTGAAAAAAGCAATGATGGTATACAAAGTAAGACGTTCCTCGACTGTTTAGGTTACTTGGCTGAACCGCTATGAATTTTGCAAATCGTAACGGACTCACGTTTTTTGGCTGATACACTTTGGCAGAGGTCATTTTTTGCAGAAGTTCCCGTCAACGACTACTGCCGTCCAGTTCCTAATCAGCTTTATCGAATAGAAGATTTAAATAATAAAAAAGTGAGATAAAATATTTGACTTCATCGCTTACGTAGAGAAACTTGATGCGTTTACAAAAACGATCTATGTGCGTTGCGCTCGGCGTGATTCGGGGCGCCATCGTGAAAAGATGTCGAGGTCTGGACCCGATTTAACAACTTATCTAGACTCAGTTTTTGATGCTGAATCTGAAAAGATTAGTTTCAGAAGCTGGAAAAAGATGAAGTAGAGAATTTTGCACATTTCGAAAACGATATGTTTTTCTCGAAAAACGACACCTCTCGAGTATTTCGTATTTTTCGACCGGAAGGAAGCATTTGCTATGGCTAAAAAGTAGATTTTCATGATCAGCAGCTCACGCTCTATTAAATGGTGTAAAAAAAACAGAAAAAAAAATTTTACTCGAAGTTTGACTTGCCTGCACCTTACTATCCAGTAAAAACGATAAATGAAATGCTCAGAAATTCTTGAACATTTACGCTCTCTTTGGAAGCCACCACCAGGATGTATATACACCAACATTGAGTGATCTTAAAAATGCAACTATTTGAATTAAACGTTCATTTTTCCAAAAATTAGCTAGAAAAGCAGAGCATTTAAACACTTTCGAGTATTGTATCTCAAAACTAATGCTACACGTGACATTGAGGTAATGGGGATTTCTCATTCTTTGTCTATATCAAACACTCCGTTACTATTCATGTATATCTTCTTTCCGTTCAACGTATAGGTATATGAAAAATTACAATGACTGTATGAGAACATAAATGGCTTCGACGATTCAGATGCATATCTCTGTATCACACGTTAAGCCAGATCTCAAAGATTTATGCCTGTGTAATGGCAATTTGCCGCTTTAGTTCGAGGGTTATTAGGATTTCTTTATCTTTAAATAAATATAGTTTAAACCAAAGATTTATGCCTTTATCTAATATGTTCTGTTTACGATGAACGCGTGTTTTGAAATCCCAGTAATTGATTATTTAATAGAATATACCGGCGTCATAAGCAACTTCAGCTAAAAAAAACGACTTAAATGCATCATTCTTACCCGACACAGAGAATCGGAAGCTAATCAAGGCACGACTGTTTACCAACGTAAGCGAGATAGTTTGGTAGAGCTGATGCGTGCTGGATTTCAACACTCCGATCAAACTCTCAAAACCTTTTTTTTGATGAAACCGTTTTGTTTTCCGTGTCACCCTGTAAACGATCGATACAAACGTTCGAAAGTCTCGCTCAAGCATTCGATCCAAAACGAATTGTTGATGTCAAAGAAGATTCACATATTTGCGATCAAGAATGGGGCTATTTTTTTATGACAAGAGTATTCAAGACAAAAAAATGAGAGATCGTGAAGTAGTGGACGACTTTTTCTTTCGTTTTCACACTGGTGAAAGTGGAGCAGACGTTTGGAGACCAATGCAGTCTCTTTTTGGATTCTCTCTGTAGAAGTAATTGTTAGCTAGTAACTAACAAAAAAAAGACTTCTTATCCCACTTCTGCTAGGGCAGTGGCTTTATCAATTATGCCCGACAAGTATACCATAAATAAAATATTTGCTTATATGTCGAACTGTGAATAACGTATTGTTGCAAGTACGAACTACTTACTTTGTAGATTGCAGCAAACACAGCTGGATTTGATATAAACTGTTTTCAGGATGAAATTAATATGTCTGATCTCGAAAGCACGTTCTTGCAATACTTTTCAATTTAATGTACTCAAACTATTATAAAAAACACACAAAACACTGAAACAATGACGCATTAATCAGATTTTTTTGTTCTGATGGTACTTTGTTTAATTTTTTTTACGGAACGAAAAATTTATCTAAAACCTGAACAATATCAGATTTGGTTGAGTTTTTTATGCTCATTCGAACGATGCGTAATTTAAGAAAATCAAATGTATGATAATGTTGCTACAATTAAAAGAACAAGAAATACAGAATTCTTCAATTTTTGAAGAAAACTTGTTGGTACTTTTTTTAAAAATTTTTTTCTCAACGATGAAGAGTTTTCAAAGGCTAGAAGCTTGGATTGAATGATTAGTCGGATTGTAGAGCGTTAATAAGTTTTCTTATGATGAACCTTTATAAGAGCATCAGAAATGGAAACAGTTTTATTACGAACAATAGACGTATTAGCCTCAAAATAAAGAGTGTCGACGTTGAGTACTGGTAGAGTTGCTGTAACAATAATTTCGGTTCTTGGTAATATTTGAAGTGTATTTGCTAATTTCATCTCTAACGGAGGCTGTCGAATAAAATTTGTATGGGTTGAGCGATGATGGTTACGAACAGTTCGTTTATTAGGCAAGATTTGAACATTATATTGAGATCGCCAGTCGTTACCCAAAACTAGGTCAGCGGCTAACGATTTAACGACTCATGCAGTGATTGGCATTGCCATGTGATTAATGTGGATGTGAAGGTGAACTTTCCCATAAACATGTAATGACGTTTGACCATCACCAAGTGAAACATTAGGTTTTGTTTTAATTATATGAGGACGAGGTAGAAGGTGTGTTAAAAGCGATTTTTTAATAAAAGATGTAGTAGCGCCTGTATCAATCATTGAGGCAATGTTTTGTCCATGAAGCACTAAATTAATAAATAAAAGTGATGGATTTCCCATTTTAGAGGCGCACCCATCTGGCGACTCTAACGCGAGTTTTTTCGGTACCAACAGTTACGAGCATAATGTCCTGGTCGATTACATCGATAACAACGAATAGAACTTGTTGGTGAGTACAAAAACTGGGATTAGAATATATAGCGGTAAACGGCGAGATGAATAAGGAGAGACACGTGGTGAAGTATCATAGGACGGTTCTTGTTGGTGGGACGGTGACGAAATTGTAGAAGTACCGGGTGAATACCGATTCGATGGAGAATTGTAGGAAGGTGTGAATGTTACTTGCTTGTCAACACGATACGTCGATTGTATGTGATCATATGGTTCATTACTAAGAGAATTTGCGGCAAACTGTTCTAACATTTTTTCTGAGCGTGCATGGTGTAGGAATTCAGCAGGTGTGGTCGGTGCATGACGTAAAACATCTTTAATTAATGAGTGTTTCAATCCGTGCTGTAAATGATCGAGTTTTGAGGTATCAGTCATATGTGGATCAACGAGATTACACAAACGAAGTACATCCGTAAAATATTGATTAATGGATTCATCATTTCGTTGTTTACGCTGACGCAATTGTTGGGAAGCAAGTTGTTTCGCAGCAGGTGAAGAATAAGCAGCGCGAAGTAATCGCAAAAATACAGACCAGTTACTAAATGTAGCTGTATTTTCAATAAACCATTCTAACGCCTGACCAGCTGCAAAACCGGGTATAGCTTGTAACTTTTGACGATCCTCAAATTGTGCCATATCGAACGCGGCTACAATGTCTCGGATCCAAACATCGACATCTTCATCAAGTTTGCCGGAAAACTTGGGAGCTGTTTCTGATTTCTTTGCAATTAAGTTTACTAATATTTGATCAGCCATTATAAATTCCCGAGGGATGTGTACAATAGGTGCAATGAGTGAGTGATAATTGAATTTTAGAATTCTGTTCATGTAAAGTTGAATTTTAATTATAGCTGGAATAATATCTGTGTTTCAACTTTACATTTTGTAATTGTAATCGCTGCTTGCAAGGCAAGAGGTAAATGAGGCACATTCCCAATTCTTAAATTATTATTTCTAATCACTCTCGTATTTTATGTCTTGACGTGCTGGTCTCTCCGCTAATAACTTGTGTCTACGCCCTAGCACACAGGCGGGAAATCTCGGGTGCCGGGAGTAAAATGTGTTCATGTGTGTTTCGTTTGTCTGCGTCTAAGTCTAGGAAACTATGGGAAACTAAGAAAAACTGCAAAGGAACCGAAGAAAAGTACAATCAAACAAAATGAAACTAGAGATTTAAAAGGGAAACAATTCTTTCATTCTTCTGACCGAAGCAGCTTTTCCTAATGATCATTTACGATGAGCTGAAGATATTTTCTGTACACACCTCACTAGCGTGTTGCTCCCCTTGCTCACGTAATTACTAATCGCAAGTTCTAATCTGTTCTGAACCATTCAGTACCCGCCGAAAGTTTCGCCC